CATTTTAAATAAGTTTTAACTTGGAATCAAGTACCTCAACTTTGTCCAAATTCGGCGCAATTTTGTCATCCTATGTCGGTTGTCAACAATTTGGCCTTGTTATTCTTCCATCCAAGCCATTTCGATTGCACTAATAACAAATTTAACCCGATCGGCAAATTTAACCCGATTCAAGGATATCGGCGATAAACAGCGGAGTAAAGTGGAGAATTTGGCTAAATACGTCCATTTTCAGGAGGCAGGTACATTTCAAATTATTATTTCGATCACAAAGTATTGACTATTTTACACCAAAGCAGTGATAATATACATAAATAAGTACCAATTATGTTTCTATAAAAAAGATTTAGGAAAAAAGGTAATGTAGGTCCACTGCTGTTTATCTGAATTTGTAAGTCACAAATTGACGTTTGCATGACTATGAGTATTGCATGGTCATTTTCTTGGGAAATATCAGTGCTAGTTATTTCACACTTACCAATGACCACTCCTAAAAGCACCATCTCTGAACCATATAAGCACCTCAGAATAGCCAAAGCTTTTATGGTTTGATAGATAGCACTATGGCGAAAGCGTCATTTTTGGGTGTGGTCAGTTTTGGACGTTTCGTCCCGGATTGGGGTTCGGGCAGCGTTACCATGTCGACCGTCATGGTCAACTTGCCCTAAAACAGTTGAGATTATCTGTCCTAATGAAATGCATACAAACTCATATACAGGTCCTTGACTAAAGGCATCTAAGTGTAAAGTTCTAACAATATCCCGCCGAAAAAGCCCGATTGAAACAACGGTACCACCTTGGTTCAACTGAACTGGTGCGTGTGGATAGTGAGGTCGATCCTGGAATTACTGTGACAAGAAAGTTATCTTGGAATTCTACTTCGTCATTGGTTAGTTCGCTAAGGAGTCACGTGTGAGATAGCGCGGGAAGGATCGAGCGGCAGTTGCAAAGGATTCTTCGAGCGAACGTCAACAACAAAAATTTTCCGCTTAAAAATTGAATAAAAATGGCAGAAGACACTTCGGATATGGAGAAAGAACTACTTAATGAAGAAGAACAAGATCAGACTGACGAAGACCTGTCTACGAACGAACGATATATGGAGTCGTTATCCAAAATGAATGATAATATTTCTGCACTAGGCGTATCGCTAAACAAACGAAAACATGAGAGCATTGTTTCTGATCAACCAAGCACAAACACGGCAGTATCTGCCAAAAAATCTAAAACTAGCTCACTGTCTGAGTCTGTATCAGACAACGAATCTGACAGTGAAGCGTGCTGGGAGACGCGGAGCAGGGACATCACAATGGCAATGAGAACACCTCGAACGAGGACGAACAACAACCCGCCAACATGGCGGACGTAGATGATCCCTTGCTTGACGAAATCGCGCAGTCACTTGACGAAACTGAGTGAACGGGCGACCCCGTTTCGGATAAACTAGCATTGATTGCAAACAAACGCTGGAATCATAAATTAAGTGACGACCAGCTAAAAGAAAAGGCCGAAAAATACCCGCGACCAGCGAATTGCGACAAAGTTGTAAGCCCACGTGTAAACCCTGAAATATGGGCTAAATTGCCAAAGGCTGTTCGTGGCGAGGATCACAAGCTCTTTCGTGTACAAACCCAGCTTAGCACAGTCACTAACCTTGTAGTGCAAGCTACAGATATGCTGTTGAAAGCAAAATCTGACCCAAAAAGTCTACAAATTGATGACCTAGTGCGAATGAACACAGATGCTGTTGCTCTGGTCAGTCATGCTAGCCACGAGCTAGCTCAAAGAAGGCGCGAAATCATCAAACCTCACCTTCACAGGGATTGTATTGAGCTATGCTCACAAGAAGTTCCTGTGACAAGCCTACTGTTTGGAGACGACCTCCAAATAGAATTGACCCGCATTCGGGCAACATGTACAAACAAAATTGGAAATACAACAAATCCATATGCACGCGCCAAGTCAACGCCGGATTTACAAGCCAAATACGAGCAATTATGGTAATAAACAGCCTCCTTTTTTATGGCGAGGAGCCCAGTCGTACAGACGACTGGAGAACAACAACAGGCGGGGTCAGAACCGTGGTCAGAACCGAGTTCGTTTCGGGTCAATAAAGAAATAGACTCAGAATCTATTCACAAACTTTCACAAATACAGGTAAGCAAATACGAGTCTCTCGTGCCATCGCTTATTAAATACTTTGAACACAAGGTTGCCACTTTTAAGGCGGGCCAACTTAGTACTTCCTATTTTGCTTGGAAAGAATTGACATCTGATCCAGAAATTCTGGAGACAGTGTCTGGTCAACGTATAGAGTTTAACCAGAACCAAGTACAATTGAATTTACCTGTACAGCCAAATTACTCATGTCAACAAGGACAGTTTATTGATTCTGAAATCCAAACTTGTTGAAAAAAGGTGTCATTGTAGAATCTACGCATGAGCCTAATGAATACATTTCACCCATATTCCTTCGACCTAAGAAGGATGGATCACATCGCACGATTTTAAAACTAAAATGTTTAAACCAATCTGTTACGTACCAACATTTTAAAATGGACACAATCTGGACTGCTATACGTATGATGCGTCCGGGATGCTTTATGTCATCCATTGATCTTAAGGATGCATACTGCTCTGTCCCGATTCATAAAGACCATCAAAAATACCTGAAATTTCAATGGCGAGGGAAGCTATATCAGTATACATGTTTCCCAAATGGATTGGCAATTTTCCCTAGGAAGTTTACAAAGCTCCTTAAACCTGTTTTCTCAAACTTGAGAAGCATAGGTCATCTATCTGTAATATTCATAGATGATTCTTATTTACAAGGTGCTGACTTTAACCTGTGTGTTAAAAATGTGAAAGATACTATTATATTACTTGACCAAGTGGGTCTTTTATACACCCTGAGAAGTCAGTCCTATACCCTACTCAGAAACTTGTATTCCTAGGGTTTCTGTTAGACTCCATAAAAATGATTACCAGCTTGTCAAAAACTTCGACAATCTCCCCAACCTACAATACCGCAAGTGGCTAGAGTCATTGGGATGTTAACAGCTAGCTTCCCAGGAGTAATGTTTGGGCCATTACATTATAGACACCTAGATATGGATAAAACTGTGGCCCTGAAACTAAGAAAGGGCAATTATAATAAGACCATGACTCTTTCAGATGAGGCTAAGCACGAGCTGAGCTGGTGGGTAAGCTCAATCGAAAGTGCATACAATGTGGTTAGTCACGGACAAGCTGACACAACCATGACCACAGATGCCTCAAAAACGGTTGGGCGGGTTGCTCCCTAGCTGGCACACCTACAGGTGGCTCATGGGACCCTGGGGGATCTGAGAAACACATTAACTGGCTGGAGGTTAAAGCCATATTACTCAGTCTAAAATAATTCGTAGATCATATTTGTCAGAAGCATATAAAAATCCTATCCGACAACACAACAGCAGTCTACTGTATAAATCATATGGGAACTAGTCACTCCAAGGAGATAAATCTCTTAGTTACGGAGATATGGGATTTTTCATTAAGAATAACATTTGGATTACTGTAGCACATATCCCAGGAAAACATAATGTCATTGCAGATTTTAAATCGAGGAGGGGTACCAATGATACTGAGTGGGCCTTAGACCAAACAGTGTATGATCAAGCAATCCAAGTACTGGATGTGACACCCAGTATTGATCTGTTTGCTTCAAGGCTAAACTATAAATAAAATGCAAGCCTTATGTTGCATTCAGACCTGACCATGAGGCTCAAGCCATAAATGCCTTTCATATCTCTTGGGTAAACATGTGTTTTTATGCATTCCCACCTTTTTGCATTATCAACCAAGTATTACAAAAAATCTCAGAGGAGAAGGCAGCAGGCATAATAATACTTCCACACTGGCCGACCCAGTCTTGGTGGCCATATCTAACCAACATGTTAATAAATTGTCCCCTTATGTTGCCTAGCACACAAACAACACTGATGTTACCATCCCATCCTCAGAAGATACATCCTCTACAAAAGAAGTTGCGATTACTGATGTGCCACTTATCGGGGGATTACTTGAAAGTAAAGGAATTTCAAAAGAAGCTGCTTCAATCATCGTACAAGCATGGAGACCGGGGACTCAAAAACAGTACAAATACTATTTACAAAAGTGGGAACAGCACTGTTGTGAATGAAGTATCAATGCCATTTCTCCAAATGTAGGGACTGCAATTGATTTTCTACATGAATTTTACAAGGAAGGATTATCCTATAGCACATTAAACACGGTACGCTCAGCTCTATCCAGCGTTGTCCAACCAATAGACAATTTCACATTTGGAAACCATCACTGGTAACCAGATATATGCAAGGAGTATTTGTAAATAGATCAGCACTACCACGTTATAAACAGATCTGGGATGTGTCTGTGGTTATAAAATATCTAAAATCTTTGGGTGAGAATACACAACTCTCCCTACAAGATCTGACTATGAAGACAACCATGCTGCTTGCCCTTGTTACTGGACAGCGTTGCCAGACCATACAGGTCTTGAACATTGAACAGATGGTTAAGAGCGATGACATATGGTCCTCTCATATAAATAAAATGTTAAAAACCTCTCGACCTGGAAAGCACTTTGGAAAGATTGAGATCAAAGCTTTTACAGCAGACAAAGTGATATGTCCAGTAACTGTCCTCAAAGAGTATGTGGCAAGGACGCTACCTTTAAGAAAGAACAACTTCCAACTACTTCTGAGTTACCAGAAACCACATAAACCAGTTTCATCAGAAAACATTGGCAAGTGGATCAAAAAGACTTTAACTAAAGCAGGCATAGACATTAAGGTATTTGGTGCTCACAGCACAAGATCAGCGTCTACATCTGCAGTGAAAGTTGGTAACATGCCAATTAGTATGGTGTCCCATGTCCGCCAAAAATCAACTTTTGCATTTCACTATAATATATGATATTTTGAGGATCATAACTTATTTTTTGAAGACCAACTTTTGAAGACCAACTTTTGAAGACCAACTTTTGATACCGAACCGCAATCCAATGTCTTTGTTGTTCGCGGGCTCATTTATTATGTTTTCAAAAATGGAGGAAGAAGACAAACAATACTTGCTACAGGCGATTTTTGATGTGATAAATTCCATCGACCGTTTTTCACAGTCTCGAGACGCTAATGTAGACTACATAAGAGCTTATGCTGAAACTTGATTTTTTACAACGGTTGCTAGTAAATATGAATCTTGATTATTCGATATGTGCAAACGTTAGAGAGGCATATAACATTCTTTTCAATATGGAACAAATGGAATACCAATGCAGACAATAAGATATCCGAAGGAGGTAGGGGGGTTAACTTCTAATTTTCTCCGTGGGGGTGGTATGGATGTTTTCTGGAATGACCCATTGATAAACAGAGAAAAACAGGATAATGTATTGTCCTAGAACATAGATATCCTAATATATTACATACAGTCAGGTTTTAGCAGTGCCGTAGCAAGCTTGATAATTGGGGGGCTGATATTCATATATTTGTGTTCACAGACCATAAAAACAATGGATTTCTAAAGAAATTAATAACACAGAACAGGGCTGCATAAAATATTTTATTTTCTGGGACCACAAAGCCAACAAAAATATTTTCTGCAGGCAAACACTGGGAATCTTTGTTTAAATTTGATCATCACTAAACAAGGTTCAGTGTATTCTATGCACCATTTCATTAGATATGAAACCAGAATAGACGTATTTTACCCTGCTAGCAGTGGTTTCTAGCTGAGCTGAAACCACTGCGAGCAAACGAACGATCGTTTCATTGTAGCCGCCGTCCAGATTCATGGACGAATACATTAAATGAGAAACCAGTAAAACAAGTTTGACAAGTTTTTGTTATTGTTCGCATGGGTAACTGCTTGGCACTGCTGGTAAAATGCGAGCCAGTTCCACTAAAACAACACGATCACGCTCTAAATATAGTAACAAGCCATAAATGTACTACCTTTTACAAAATATTATAACTTTACAAAATATTGAATTACAAAATATTGAATAAAATTTATTATACAGTTCAAGAGAGTAACTATAAATTCACACACTGCAACAAAAATCAACACCTTTAACAGAAATAATAGCGCCGTCGTGACGATCTTTCATCAGTTTAAATTTGTAGCGGTTGAGGTCGCGACGATCAAAAATTGCAATATTGTCAAAATCAACCGTAATTGGAAACATTATATTATTTGGAAACTTTGGAAATTGGAATTTATCGAAAACCTTAACACAAATAAAGTTTGCAGACCGAATTAAAAAAATTGATATTGATCAGATAAATACAAAAATTGAAAAAGATATAACAGAAATTCAAATGCACAATTTGTAGCCGTAGGGCGAGGCACCGATTTCAAAATCTTTGAGAAGTAAATTGTGAACTGCATGTAGAATAAAAAGTCAGACAGATAACAAAGAAAACAGCACTATGCCACGCTTGTTTACGTACAGATAACAAACTGTCAAACTACAGCAAAGGAAGTCAAATTAGTGTCGTCCCACCCTGTGATCTTCGTGCATGCTCGATAGAAAGTCGTTTGTTTGCTCGCAGTGGTTTCTCCTCAGCTCCGAAACCACTGCCAGCAGGGTAGACGTATTTCAACATGGCTACGGAATAAATATTCTTTATATTTTAATTTAACAACAAACATTTACATTTTAATGAATGATGAAAATGACTACTGGAAAGTCTCTGCAGTTTAAGATTCTAGATTCTTATAATTGTAATATATTTGTTATGAATATCATCTTAATTAATTAATGGATGAAAGTTTGTGAGAAGGGTGGAAGGCTGTTGTGTATTGGAACATATTGCTTAGATTTTTACTGCATTATAAGAAATCACCACACATTAATCCACATACTGTAGTTGTTAAACGAGTTGTATTCATATATAATTGGAGTGGTATTTTCAGAAGTAGCTAATACACTAGATGAAATATAAAAACCACATAGAGGATTTTGTCTTAATATCTGCTAGACTGCTATCTACCTGTCTTTGAGCATAGTTTCAGGCTGCTGGAGAGCCATCTGTACCGGTATATTGGAAACTTGTATTACTTGCATGTTGCAAACATCACTAGTTCACTACCTACAGCTTATTATTCAATTATGTTATTTTTCCTCATTTTCTTCCTTTCATTCTTTCTTTTGAGATTTTAAAGTTTTACGCTCCATTTTTTTCTGCCAATGGTGGTCCCTGGTGGTCACCCTGCCTTTTGTCATGTGTATTTTTCTTGTTATAGTATTATGTATTGTGATGTGGTGAAACCAATAAATAGACAAAATAAAAGAATGAATTATCAACAAAAAATAGTTATAAATACCTCATTTGCATATGCAATTCCCCTGCCCCTCATTCAACACAATTTTTAACAAAAAAAGAGCAAATAGGATAACAGATACCTTGCATAGAAGATGCAATAGAAATCAAGAGCAAAACCAATAAAAAATAGCAGGAAAGAGCACAAATGAACCAGGAAAATAAAAAGATTGTTTCAGTACAATCAAACCGTTAGTGGAATAATTTAAAATAATGACATAAATTGCCATATTAATCAGTATGAGCCTTGTACAATATATTGGGCCTAAGCTAAGCATTTTCTCTTGAACATACATTAATATCAGTTGTCACCATACTTACCTGTGTGCATGGTTAGGTGCAGACGTGGTCAGCCAATGATCCACGGATTTGAGTTACTTAAATTCAGGTCCGAATCATGTGAACCTGTCCATTCAATACCTGATCACCTAAGTGTTTGGTGGAAATTAAACCAAAAGTCAATTGTCTTCATGAAAACAAACAAAAAAAATTTGACTTCTCTAAGCAGATCACTATTGCAGTTGGCTACGAGTTAGTTAATGACCTGTGAGTCTGCTTGGCACTCACAATCATCTATGATCCAAACTAGAAACACCAAGTTGACGCTATCAAACACTGATGATGTATTGCCAGTAAACAATCGTTTTTCGATATTGAGTAATACAGATAGCCAAGAAGACATACTGGTAATTAACAAAGGAAATCCCACTGGGAATTTAGATTATCAATCTCAAAATAGCAGTGCCAAAACCGATAATAATAGGGTAGTCTGATGCAAGACAACAGTGCCCAAATAAATCATGCCGCCGCTGGTGAACAAGTGCCATCCAACACTGATAAAAGCAAACAAACAAGGCCGAAATTCTCCAAACGATGTACAAATCCTCCTCATGGGAGATTCGATAATCAAAAACATTGATCCAAGGAAAATACCTCGAAGAAAGACAGTTAAAATCTGTTTACCAGGAAAAAGAGCAGATCAGATTTTTTTTTTTTAATTTAATTCGCCCAATTTAATTACAAAAATTTTGATTATTATATTTACATATTTATTATCTAGGGCTAGGGGCCTACTAGAAACCATCAAAAGGCTTTTGATTAATTAAGACCCCTAGTTACATTTTAAATTACAAAATAAGGATCCTATTTAACAAACAAAACTAGGTGACAGTGCTTCAAGTGAGGTGCAATATGATAAAGTATTTACATATAGTGCTACAGTGAATAAAATGTTATGATCACAAAAGTGTATTATTATTAATTCATATAAAATTTGATACTGCAGATGTTGTTTTGGTAGTAGTTTTTCAGTTATTCAGTATATAGTATTTTTTCGATTTTTTGTTGAATATATAGTAAGATGCTATATTTTTAAAGTTTGGGTCAAGATTATTCCAGATATCAACTGCCTTGTTAGAGAGTGAATGTTTAACATAGTTTGGTCTTTGATAAGGCTTATGAAGTTTCATAGAATTTCTTGTATTATGTCTATGAACTTCACTATTTGAAATATAGTAGTTCACAAAAAATTCAGGTAAGGTTTTTAAGAGATGATATCTGAACATGAACAAACTTGTAAGATAATCGTTTAGTTTGCTTAAGTTCAATATATTTAGGTGCTGAAATATGTTTTCAATATGATCTAAGTGAGAGCTAAAAGTCATTAAATGTACAATCTTCTTTTGAACATTTATAAGTTTTTGAATTTGTTTTTTATATGTATTTCCCCAGAGTAAGTTGCCATAAATAAGATATGGATAGACCAAAGCATAGTAGATTAGTTTTAATGTATTTAGGTTTGTATAGTGGCGCAGTTTTGCTATTATTCCAGATGACTTCATAACTTTTTTCGTTACCGCTTCTATGTGATCGTTCCAGGTTAAATATTCATCAATAACGACACCTAAGAATGTAGTGCTTCTAACTTGTGAAACCGATTGATTATTTACAGAGAGGTGCAATTCCTGTTTCTTTTTATTTGGAGATTTAAACACAATTAACTTTGTTTTTGTTGTATTGATGGGCAATTTATCTAAATTTAGCCATTCAGCAATTTTATTCATTTCTACTTGAAGTGTTTCTTGAAGTATTTTAATGTTGGAATGACTATAAAGTACACTTGTATCATCGGAAAATAGAAGAATTGAAACAGTTTTAGTACAGTTTTGGATATCATTTATGTATAAAATAAAGAGTAGTGGTCCAAGTATCAAACCCTGTGGCACACCTGTGAGTATCGATTTTTCTGTAGATCACAGCTGAGGTAAAATCAATTGCCATTACACACCCTTTGCATGTTATTATACACACAGCAAATTATAATTAACACAAGCAAATTATAATTTAAGAAATAGCTATACTGATTTAGCTCTCCCAAAACCAAGAAGGGAATTCCTAAAAAAAGTTTTAAATACAGAGGGGCAAAGCTTTGGAATAGAAGCAAAAGAAGCACAATCAATCCATATTTTCAAACAAAATATTAATCTTTGACTCTGTTACCAATGTTAATGTATGTCCAGCATGCACTTTTGTAAATAGTTTTTCTTTGTTTCTACTTATTCTCTTGTAAATATTGGTATATAAATTGATGACGCCCCTCATGAAAACCAACTTATGTTGATGAGGCTAGCGTCTTGAAATAAATTTTTACGATACGACGATACTCTATGTCTGATATCCTCAGGGCAAGAGCGCTTAGCTGCCCACTCCTCCAACAATTGGATGAGCTTGGTATGTTTGTCAGTGGGTAGTCTAGCAATAATGTGCACTGAGTCTAGCTCAGTACCAAAATCAAACATGTTGTGGGGCCCATGCGTTTGTCAGGAGATAAATGTATGCCAATTTTGGTCGTGGCCTGGTCAATCGCTTTGAGATGTGAAGCACATATATCAGAATTAGGAGGTCCTAATGTGAAATAGTCATCTAGGTAATGTAGTAACTCAAGGATGTTCCAATTATTCACCAAACACCAGTGAAATAAATATGCCAAACTATTGAAAATTCTTGGTGCTGAGCACAAGTCAAATCAGTAATGGTAGATCAACATAAAAACCACTTTGCCAAAACATTCCTAATAAATGACGGTCTGACGGATGCACTGGAATTGTGCAATAAGAACTTTAAATATCCACTTTACCCATTAACGCACCATGTCCAGCTTTAATAATTAGTGAAATAGCATTGGATACTTTGCTATAAGTGTAAATTTCTCTTTATTAATCCCATCATTTACACTGTGCCCAAAGGAAAAGAATAAATCAAGAATTAAATGCTACCCACTGTCTTTCTTAGAAATCATGCCAGAACGGCTGACCTGTAAACTTTCTATTGATGGTATTGCAATGGGCCCAAAAAGCTGGCCTAACTACATGTCTTTTGCAAGATATTTGTCAATTATGGAGGGCTGTTTGAGCACAGAGGGACAGTTCGCCTTGACTAATTTCAGATTTTGTCAACTCCTGGTGAAACCCAAGCCAACATCCATGATGTAAACCACTTAAAACATAGTCAACTTTTTGTTGATCCGGATGACTACATAATGGTAATGTCAAATTGTCTACATTAATTGGGGTAACTGACCACACGTCTGGAGGATTAAAATTGTTTTGTACAACTAAACAGGAAAAAATATTGTTATCAACTACACTGTCTATTCTAATCGCATTTCACCTGTCGCCTACAGCTTGATTCATCTCCAGGACTATGCCCTTGTTTATGTGCGAATTCTGTGCATTTGATTCTGCGCCGAACCTGTTTCGATCGCATTTATGGCAAAATCTACAAAAAGCATGTTGACTGCTACATGCGCCTGAATTCCATGATTTGCAGCGAATCATTGAATTTTAACCACCACAAGGTTCGCAATTTTGTGAATGTGGTTGTGTGGGTTTGACCTCTACCGAGGTATGGTAATAATACAAATCTGCATGAATTTGGCTCTAATTCTTTGAATTGGATGCAGCAGCTTCCAAGTCAATCATAATCGATCATAATTAAACCAATACTGTCCGGGGAATTACTTTGTGATGCGTATTATTATGGCCATATACATGAGTAAATCCTGTGTTCCTTTAGGCTGAGACACTGTGATTATAGCTATGTAGCTATTGAAGCACACTACCCATGTAAGAATATCTCTTACCTCATTCTTTTTGTGTGACGAAGTTGTCGTTGTGGGCACAATCGAGCGACCTTCATTGCTAAAGGAGGGTGGTACCTCTGGGGTCAGGGCTAAATTTTCTGGGATGAGATCTGACATCTCGACAAACTTATACGCCAATATCTGTGCAATGAGCCTTGCAGGGACAGGTCCCAGGATAAAGTCTTGATTGAGGGATTCGGTGTAACTGTTGGACATTTGGCTTTACTAAATTGTGCAATTGTACTTGATTGTGTCAACGTCGACCCAGAAATCCAAACAAAAGAAGGAGCAGTTAACGTACCTTCACCTGGTGTTTGCATACCTGACACGCTTACCATCACTGTGGGACAAACTTCATCCAACTGCTCCAATGCCACAACTTGTGTTTCAGTGGATGCATGTGCACCAATCATTTTCGCGATGACCTCGGCCACAGCAGATTGAAGACCAGAGGAAAACTCTGGTAACTTGAAAGCTGCTGCCCAATCTACTGATACAGAGGATGAACTGGTCTCCTGGTGACTTGAAGTTTCTCCCGCCAAGTCCATGTTGTTCAACACGCACATACACAAAAAGAACAAAGAAAATTTGGCTTCTTCTCTAAGTAGATTACTATTGCAGTTGGCTATGAGTTAGCTAATGACCTGAGAGTTTTGTTGGCACTCTCTATATCCGATATCCTCTGAGGGCACATGTTGTACCCAGACTGCACACAGTTCCTATGGCATTAACATTGGTTACTATGTAACCTCATTTAACAAAAACAGGTATGCTGTAGCATACATGGTGTCCACTGGATCAAAAACAAAGAATGCTTTATGTGAATAAAATACACGAAATGACCAATTTTATTAGAAAAAAGGTAGGCTATAACATATCACACAAATATACACTTTAATTTATAGTAGCTTCTATGGGAAATCTGGTGCGTCAATCAGTCCTTAAAGGGGCAATATGATCAAAATTGTTATTTTCTTAAACCCAAGCTTAAACGAAAATGCTCGTAAAATGGTATAATAACTTGTTTTGAAGATTTTTGTTCCCATGCTTAGTTCTTGAGATATTTCTTTTGTTTGTAACCATGTGACATCATCTACTCAATTACATATATAATAAGATATCAGTAATTGTTGTGTATCTTTGCTATTTTTGATCGATTTGTTAAAAAACACAGTATGCTTAATGATGCAGGTTAAATTAAGACCCTGTTTACACTAGAGCGAAAGATTCCGGATTCGTCACAAAACCGAAACGTTTTGGCATCAGATTCATACATGCGTTTACAGATACAGCGACGAATCCGGTGGAAAATCATCTCGGTTGTAGGACGTATCCGAAAAACTTTGTATCTGGAAACATTTTAATCCAAGACAATTCTATGTGTAAAAGGTTCTAAATGGAAATTTGAATTAATCTGCAACCTTTTTCACCCGCGAAAATACGAGTTTGCGGTTTTACCATAGAACCAACATGGCGACCGTTATTGTTTTGTTGTCTTTGGTTTGTTGTTTAATTCTATTACAAGAATTGTAAATTTTGTAATGGCCACGGGTATATTTTTAAGAAGGTGAAAGTTATTGCAGAATTCTATTTTAATTTCTGCAAAACTGGTACGAAAACGAAGAAAGTGGCAAAACCGAAGACCTCGACAATTTTGGGTAAAACCAGGGAGAACATCTTCTTGGTGGGACAATATGCTAAACGGTGTTTGTCTAGATAGCGATTGGAAAGATAACTTTCGGATGTCGCGTTGTAACTTCGAAAAATTCTGCAATGATCTTCGACCTCTGCTTGAAAGCTGCACAACAACAATGAGAAAATTCCGATTGTGTGTAAACGGACGAATCTGATAACTTTCTTGTTACCGCTTTAGTGTAAACGCCACAAATGCAAACACTCAAATTCCAATCAAATCCGGAAACTTTTGCGAATCCGAAATCTTTCGCTCTAGTGTAAACGGGGTCTAACAAACGCACTGTATCTTTCGCAATATTTTGATAAAAATAGCAAAGATACACAACAATTACTGATATCTCATTATATATGTAATTGAATATATGACATCACATGGTTACAAACAAAATTAAATATCTCAAGAACTAAGTATGGGAACAAAAATCTTCAAAACAAGTTATTATATATACAGTTTTACAAGCACTTTCATTTATGAAAATAAAAATTTTGATCATACTGCCCCCATTTTAAATGTTGTTGTATTAACCATTTCCAAGATATTCATTTTTTGCAATATAATTTGCAGCCAAAAACGTTATTGACAGTAGGTTATATCTCTTCAAAGATTTATTCGTTTTTGTGTTCCAGTGTTCCAATGACATCTTGTCTTGTATGATGTTCTTACATTGAAGCTAGCTGGCCTGAATAGATGGTTTTGCAGAGCATGGTTAACAGCGTCCTGAGGTTGAACCGCAACCTCAGTTCCATTCTCAGTCCTCCAACGAGGTGTGGCACTCCCTCCATGGTGACGGGGATGGAATTCAGATGTTGGAAAGATGTGACACCTTGACAGGAGTTGATGGGGGTTGGGGAGTTCCAAGCCCTGAAGAGATGGAACTGAAGATTATAAATCTTCAACCTCAAGACTTGGTCCCCTTCATCCATAACTATGTTGAGGTTTCCACCAAGGGTTATGTACTCTCTGGTTGGGGTTAAGGGGAGTCAGTATAGGGTATGGGTTAATGGTGATGTTGTGTGGGTAAGGTGGTATGGGTTTGATGAGGTACAAGGTCTGGGTCCGTCACGAAATGGAAACATCCCATTCATTGGGTGGGTATCCTTGGTCAACAGCATTTTGGGCTAGCAGGTCTCTGGGAATTGCAGGGAAAGTGTCGAGCTTCTGCTTCATTCCAAATGAAATAATTCATATGAAGTCAACACCCGCGTCGATGAGGCCAGCAATTAGTACACGGATTGGGATCGGTTTGTTTGATCCACAAACCAGGTGTCTTGCCTCCTCTCCCGATGGTACGACAGTGTGGCCATTTTCACAGAAGGAATTGCAGAGCCGTTGTTTGAGGATTCGAAAACATGGTTAGGATTATGACGAGATTCCAGCAACAAGATTCTCGACATGTGGTTTTGCATTACATTATGATTCAATTTTTCTAATGTAAATATCTTGGCGAGTATTTACCCCCCTTTAAAATAAAACCCACCATTTGAAATCCTCACAAAATAACCTTTCGAACAGGGGGGTCAAGTGCCGTCAAAACATTACAGACCAAAACAATCATATATTTATACTTCACCGCTTGGCCAAACATTAAAACGGGAAAAAGTTGAATATTTTCTAAACCTTTCGTCGTTTTCTAAAAGGCTATATGAGTAAAATACTCTTTGTATTCAAGCGCTTTTGTGTAGAAAGTTTCGTATGAATACGGCGAGTAGAAATATTTATTTTGAATATCAAAACAAAGTATCAGGTTTTACTCGCACACACGTGTGTTATGCAATACTTGGCCAATAAGGAGCTCCTTTAGCCGGGATGACGTCAAACTCATGCGTATAGGTGAACTTTGACCTGTAGAATCCATTTCTGGAATTTCCAGAGACACGCGATACAAACGTCGCATTGTTTTGATATTTAGTCGTATGTCCGGTTGGGATTATCGCAAATTCGGGCCAGAAATGTAAAATTTGGCACTAAAAGTCAAACTTTAAAGATAGAAGCTTGAAAATAACACTATACATGTTATTGATATGCTTAATTCATCAAGCATATCAAATTGAGCCTACGTCTCAAGGGACCGACGTTATGTTTGGCGAATGTTTTATAATTTGTTGGTAATAATGCGTAATTTAATCATATATGATCTCGCTTTACTTTCAAAGCTCTAAATCGCTATAATGTTGCCATTGACTAAAACTATCATTAAGAATGAAGAAATATCGTTACACTGAATCGAATGGTAGTATTTTTGTCCACATAGCATTCAATGAACCGAAGATATTACATGTCAAAGTCGCATTGCATTGAGGCAATACAATAATAGGGTTGTGCTCTTAAAGAGTTTCAAAAATTCCAGCCCTCGTGATGCCAGTTTCGTCCCTTTTCTGTGGCCAGTTGAACAGTGTTCCCGGTGAAAGATTTCAGAACATTTTCCATTTCGTCATGATTAACTGGAAGATTGACAGCGATGTGATCAATGTCGATCTCTTCACTGCAGCATCTTGTGCTGCTTCTGTTATCAAGGAGCGAGACATTTATTTCTTATTCTGTAAAAGAGAAGCATATTTTGAAATTTTTTCTTTGATTTTCAAATTTTTTTTTCCAATTTCATCCAGTTTATTATGAGGTCAGAAGTGCTCATTTTAACATTAAATTACATGAAATTGGATATTAATAATTCATGACATTTTAAGTTGGTTTTGGGCACAAGTAAGCGAATGTGATATAGGCAAACCTACTAAGCCGTTATTAAAATTTTTTATATGGAATTGCGTGAAAAGTGTCCAAGCCTGTTTATTTGTTGGAATGTAAGACAGTTGAAGACTGGACTGAGCCAAATTGGAAACTATATTGGCCAATTTCCAGGCAGCAGATGAGAGGGAATGGGTGTTGGAAAACGATGCATATGCATTTTGGACCAGAAATCAAGATAAACTGTCAGCCAGGACATTATGACTACCAGCGATATGTTTTGCTTTAAATAAAATATTGTTTTGCAGACAAAAGAGCACCATTGTGCGAACAAAGGTCAGAATCCTTGGATGTTTGCTTATTGATAACAGAAACCAGAGATTCATTATCCGTAAAAAAGAGAACACATTGATTGCTCATTCTATGACCCCACAAACATATTGGATAAAATTCTAGCATGGGCAATACTATATTTCAACCAATTTTCCAGCCATTTCCCAATAACAAAACAGAGTGGCCGGGACACCGCAACAGCATATTGCCAATTACTGCGGGCCCAATTAGATACAATCAAACAAACAACAAACATTCAACTGGACAGACTAACAAACCTACGAACAAACAATATTAGTTACTAAAAGCAGCAGGATATCGGATATGTAAGACTTTGTACAGAGTTACATTTCAGGCATATAGTTTTAGATGTTCGAGGATTATCAGGATTATAATTAAGAGGACATTTTTTACAAAATTGCGTATTTTTTGCGCAAAGCGCTCAAAACTTAGCGACCAGGCCTTCCCTAAAATCCTGCCCCGCCATCTTGGTTTTAAAAATTTCCCAAAATTTGCGAAGACAAATAACAGAATTTTACTGGATTTTTGGCTGTGTCACGAGGCAAAACATTGCCAAATATAAAGAAAGATAACATGGTAAGTGTAATATCGTGTTTAGTAGCTGTTATTTAAATTATTATTATGTAAATATGCACATGTGTCGGACTCAGGAGTGACCATTTCATTCAAAGAGGTCATCAGAATTTACTGATTAAAAGTGTCTGCTTTCGTCTTTTAAATGATGGCCGGCCTGTTCACAACTCGTTTACAATATAGGTACATGCAAAATTTTAAAGGAAGAATTTGAGTATTTGTAAATAATCCATTTTAATACTT